ACCACTGTAGGTGACCTTTCAGTAAGTCTCTGTGGCGCAATCGGTTAGCGCGTTCGGCTGTTAACTGAAAGGTTGGTGGTTCAAGCCCACCCAGGGACGAATTAGGCATTTTGCTGCCTTGCAACTGCTAACACGTGCACTGGACATAGATCCTGGGCCACATTCTGTCCAGCGTTACAAGATGAAATCAGGATTTAGCAGAAGATTGTCACGGGTAGGGAAGGTATTACTGTTAACAGTGTCTAGTTCTAGTGGTGACTCCTTATTCGCCTGGATAGCTCAGTCGGTAGAGCATGAGACTCTTAATGTCAGGGTCGTGGGTTCGAGCCCCTCGTTCGGCGTTTCTGTTACTTTTCTCTCTCTCTCTTAGCGAACTTACATTAGGGTTCATATAGCAGACCTTTTGAGACAAAGTTCTGACTTTCTACCACTGTAGGTGACCTTTCACTAAGTCTCTGTGGCGCAATCGGTTAGCGCGTTTGGCTTTTAACTGAAAGGTTGGTGGTTGAAGCCCACCCAAGGACGAATTAGGCATTTTCCTGCCTTGCAACTGCTAAACCGTGCACTGGGCATATATCCTGGGCCACATTCTGTCCAGCGTTACAAGATGAAATCAGGATTTAGCAGAACATTGTCACGGGTAGGGAAGGTATTACTGTAAACGGTTTCTAGCTCCTAGAAGAGCTTTTCATCAGCCCGGCTAGCTCAGTCGATAAAGCTTGAGACTCTTAATCTCAGCGTCGTGGGTTAGAGCCCCACATTGGGCGTTTCTGTTACCTCTTTTTCTCTCAGCAAACTATCATTAGGGTTCATATAGCAGACCTTTTGAGACAAAGTTCCGCGTTTCTACCACTGTAGGTGACCTTTCACTAAGTCTCTGTGGTGCAATTGGTGAGCCCGTTCGGCTGTTAACTGAAAGGTTGGTGGTTCAAGCCCACCCAGGGACGAATTAGGCATTTTGCTGCCTTGCAACTGTTAACACGTGCACTGGACATAGATCCTGGGCCACATTCTGTCCAGCGTTACAAGATGAAATCAGGATTTAGCAGAAGATTGTCACGGGTAGGGAAGGTATTACTGTAAACGGTTTCTGGTTCCTAAAAGAGCTTCTCATCATCCCCGCTAGCTCAGTCGATAGAGCATGAGACTCCTAATCTCAGTGTCGTGGGTTAGAGCCCCACATTGGGCGTTTCTGTTACCTCTCTTTCTCTCAGCAAACTATCATTAGGGTTCATATAGCAGACCTTTTGAGACAAAGTTCCGCGTTTCTACCACTGTAGGTGACCTTTCACTAAGTCTCTGTGGCGCAATCGGTTAGTGGGTTAGGCTGTTAATTGAAAGGTTGGTGGTTCAAGCCTACCCAGGGACGGATCAAGCATTTTGCTGCCTTGTAACTGCTAACACGTGCACTGGACATAGATCCTGGGCCACATTCTGTCCAGCGTTACAAGATGAAATCAGGATTAAGCAGAAGATTGTCACGGGTAGGGAAGGTATTACTGTTAACAGTGTCTAGTTCTAGTGGTGACTCCTTATTCGCCTGGTTAGCTCAGTCGGTAGAGCATGAGACTCTTATTGTCAGGGTTGTGGGTTCGAGCCCCTCGTTCGACGTTTCTGTTACTTTTCTCTCTCTTAGCGAACTTACATTAGGGTTCATATAGCAGACCTTTTGAGACAAAGTTCTGACTTTCTACCACTGTAGGTGACCTTTCACTAAGTCTCTGTGGTGCAATCGGTTAGCGCGTTTGGCTGTTAACTGAAAGGTTGGTGGTTGAAGCCCACCCAAGGACGAATTAGGCATTTTCCTGCCTTGCAACTGCTAAACCGTGCACTGGGCATATATCCTGGGCCACATTCTGTCCAGCGTTACAAGATGAAATCAGGATTTAGCGGAACATTGTCACGGGTAGGGAAGGTATTACTGTAAACGGTTTCTAGCTCCTAGAAGAGCTTTTCATCAGCCCGGCTAGCTCAGTCGATAAAGCTTGAGACTCTTAATCTCTGTGTCGTGGGTTAGAGCCCCACATTGGGCGTTTCTGTTACCTCTTTTTCTCTCAGCAAACTATCATTAGGGTTTATATAGCAGACCTTTTGAGACAAAGTTCCGCGTTTCTACCACTGTAGGTGACCTTTCACTAAGTCTCTGTGGTGCAATTGGTGAGCCCGTTCGGCTGTTAACTGAAAGGTTGGTGGTTCAAGCCCACCCAGGGACGAATTAGGCATTTTGCTGCCTTGCAACTGCTAACACGTGCACTGGACATAGATCCTGGGCCACATTCTGTCCAGCGTTACAAGATGAAATCAGGATTTAGCAGAAGATTGTCACGGGTAGGGAAGGTATTACTGTAAACGGTTTCTGGTTCCTAAAAGAGCTTCTCATCATTCCCGCTAGCTTAGTCGATAGAGCATGAGACTCCTAATCTCAGTGTCGTGGGTTAGAGCCCCACATTGGGCGTTTCTGTTACCTCTCTTTCTCTCAGCAAACTATCATTAGGGTTCATATAGCAGACCTTTTGAGACAAAGTTCCGCGTTTTTACCACTGTAGGTGACCTTTCACTAAGTCTCTGTGGCGCAATCGGTTAGTGCGTTAGGCTGTTAATTGAAAGGTTGGTGGTTCAAGCCCACCCAAGGACGGATCAAGCATTTTGCTGCCTTGTAACTGCTAACACGTGCACTGGACATAGATCCTGGGCCACATTCTGCCCAGCGTTACAAGACGAAATCAGGATTTAGCAGAACATTGTCACGGGTAGGGAAGGTATTACTGTAAACAGTGTTTAGCTCTTAAAAGTTCATCTCATCAGCCCGCCTACCTCAGTCGGTAGAGCATGAGACTCTTAATGTCATGGTCGTGGGTTCGAATCCCACGTTGGGCGTTCCTGTTATTTTTCTCTCTCTCTCCCAGCAAACTTACATTAGGGTTCATGTAGCAGACTTTGAGACAAAGTTCCGCGTTTCTACCACTGTAGGTGACCTTTCCCTAAGTCTCTGTGGCGCAATCGGTTAGCGCGTTCGGCTGTTAACTGAAAGGTTGGTGGTTCAAGCCCACCCAGGGACAAATTAGGCATTTTGCTGCCTTGCAACTGCTAACACGTGCACTGGGCATATATCCTGGGCCACATTCTGTCCAGCGTTACAAGATGAAATCAGGATTTAGCAGAAGATTGTCACGGGTAGGGAAGGTATTACTGTTAACAGTGTCTAGTTCTAGTGGGGACTCCTCATCCGCCTGGCTAGCTCAGTCGGTAGAGCATGAGACTCTTAATCTCAGGGTCGTGGGTTCGAGCCCCACGTTGGGCGTTTCTGTTACTTTTCTCTCTCTCAGCAAACTTACATTAGGGTTTATATAGCAGACCTTTTGAGACAAAGTTCCACGTTTCTACCACTGTAGGTGACTTTTCACTAAGTCTCTGTGGCACAATCGGTTAGCGCGTTTGGCTGTTAACTGAAAGGTTGGTGGTTCAAGCCCACCCAGGGACGGATCAATCATTTTGCTGCCTTGCAACTGCTAACACGTGCACTGGACAAAGATCCTGGGCCACATTCTGTCCAGCGTTACAAGATGAAATCAGGATTTAGCAGAACATTGTCACGGGTAGGGAAGGTATCACTGTTAACAGTGTCTAGACAAAGTTCCGCGTTTCTACCACTGTAGGTGACCATTCCCTAAGTCTCTGTGGCAACATTATGAAGCTGCAGGCCCCGAGACCCAACCGCATGCTCAGACCTACTCGCTCAGACCAGCACTTCCAGACCTATCGTTTTCTCAGACAGTGCCACCTGCTGTTGGAAAAATTGCCTAACCTGAATTCATTGATTTATAAATTGTAAATTACACTATTTTTCTACTATAAAATATTGCACTATGATTGAATACATTATTATATAAAATATTAAACATACTAGATTATGATTTAATGCATTAAGTCTGTTGTATTTTAATTAACTGTATTTGTAAATAGATATTGTTCAGTTACTTAAATATTTTCAGTCATTTATTGTTTTTGTTGTTGTTTTTTGTTTTTAAATCATTAAGGATTTATCAAACTCTTTAGTATTGAGTTGAGGGAATGAACATTATCTTATTATTCACAGAATAAATGATAGTACTCGGAGTAATTTTCTCACACCAAACTTTATTTTTTTATAAATTTTCATGAGGTCCTACAAGTCATCGAGCTGTAAAAAATGCAGAGAAAAATTGTGAAAAACAATACTTGGATTAATAATGTATTTATTACATATAAAATAAAATAAAATGCTTTACATTCTTGTTAGGAAGATTTTTCATTTCTCGAGCAATTCTTCTGTTAAATTCCTCAACTTCACTAAAAAAAATAAATGCTGTTGTCAGAAATTGTGTTTAACATAAAAACTTAACAGCTTTTGTACAAAAAAAAATGTAAACATACCTTGCGTGATAAATGGGGCCCTGGAGGAAGACATCTTCAGCCTCCTGCCAAGACAAGCCTTGTAACTCGGAAATGCCATGAGTTATGGCCTGTACAAACATACAGATAAACCAATTAATAAAATAAAACACACACTGCAGAACATAAGCATGCTCATGTACATACATGTTTTGTGATTACCTCTGGGAGGAGACATCCACAAATGAACTCCACCTCATCATTGAAGGTCAGCTGTGTTTTGGTTTTATTAAGAATCCCTCTGATGTAGTCACAAATGATTGACTGGGACTGCTCATTCTCAATGTAGACAGCCACTTGAGAACGGGGTTTTAGTGGAAACCAATTTGACCTTTTCCCACCGAGTATATCCTTTGGGCCATAGAAGGAAATTATATTTCATATGTAAATGCACAAGTAATTAATTATATTTGGCAAATAATAGTTAAATTGTCACCTGACTATATTTAAGTCAACCATACTCAGAGTCTAGAGCAGGGGTTCCCAAACTTTTCAGCCCGCGACCCCCAAAATAACAATGCCAGTGACTCGCGACCCCCAATATCCTCTGAGGTGGTTATAAATACAGAAACCTTGCAAGCAATGACGCAGACACACCAATTAAATTTGTGTCAGTGCTTTAAATGTGCCAGAAAGTATAACCTGATGTTATAAAATCAAAATGCATCTGACGCTATTGCTGCCTTTAATATAATGTAATTACCCATGGGGTCGCAATCCAATAGAACTAGTAACTATAAGCTACTATATAGTATATATTAACTATAAACGACTATTTTTATTTTCAGTATGGTTATGGATAAAATATGTTAATTCTTATGGTTTAATAAAAATAAATAGATTTTTGGAAATCACCAGGAAACCCCCCTTCATTGCCCCGCGACCCCTCGGGGGGTCCCGACCCCCACTTTGAGAACCACTGGTCTAGAGGAGTAATTTAAAGTGGAACCATCTATACCACCAAATGCTGCTCTGCTGATTTTGATGTGATAATCAAGTCCACTAATCTTTTGTCATTCCTTTCCCGATCTTGAACTGCTTGGACATGTGCCGGAAGATTGGATGTGGTTTTTCTTTTCACCCTAAAAAGGAGCAGAATCTTTCCATCCAAGACACTTCTTGCCTCCTCAGTCCAGAAAGCAAATCTGTGCCCATAGCTTTTAATAACAAGACAAGACAAAATCCATAATTACTGTGTAACGAGGAGACTGACACGGAGGGATCCATTATGCAGTATTTATTAATCACAACTTCACTCAAACACACAATATGCACCGGAGTGCACACACACACACATCCACAGTAGTAGTATGGGTATCAAGACTGATGATGAACAGACACAGAGTGAGTTACCAGGCATGAGTGGAAGGGAGTGAGCGAGAACCAGGATCCATTATGCAGGCTTGGGTCAAGGCAGGCAGCAAGGATCAGAGTCCGTATAACAGGCGTGGTTCGTGGGCAGGCAGAGAGAGAGTCAGAGTCCGTATAACAAGCGTGGGTCGTGGGCAGGCAGAAGGCGAAGCAAAGTAAGAGACAGGCTGGAGTCGTGCACAGGAGATCAGGCTGGAGATAATGCTCAGAAATGCTGGCCGGGGCTAAACAAGACTTCGCCTTGAACGAGTAATTTAGTGTGGCTTATAATAGGTACGTGGGTCATTAGCCAGATTCCAATCAGGTGTATGCGCAATCGGTGTAGATGGATGACGTAATGCTAAAAGTCCGGAGATGGTGGCCTCTGCTGGCCAGCGAGGGGAGTTACTGGGACCGAGTCGGTGACATACTGGTCACCGGTAAGAGAGATTTTAAGTATGTTTTGTTATTCATGTTACAAGTTGTTGTATTGACACAATATAAATTTTGAATTTTACAGATTTACAAGAAAAATAAATAAATACTGACATACCCATCAATTTAAAATTGTTCTATGAGTAGAAGGCACCACCACTGACGGATGATAGGCATATCCATCTGAAAGAAAGACTGTTTAGTCTGACAGTTAACCAACATGTTTTTGTTAATACATGATGTTGGGTGTGCTTGCAATAACCATGCCCCTTTTTTTAAAAGATATGTTGCTTAGAAGAAAGCAAGATAATATACACTAAAATAGTTACATTTTAGCTATGATTAAGAAAAGCACCAACAAAATAAAGTTACATAAATAATAAAATAATACCTCCTGGAATTGAAACCCAATGCCACACACCATTGAGAGGGTGTACTGAAAAGAGAGAAGCCACAGTCATTTACAATGTTTACAAAATCTTTAAATCAATTAAATTAATTTATATCTTACCATGAGTACAAAAACACCACAATCATTCCCTCTTGTCTGACGTGGCAAAGCCTAAAATAGGCAAAGCAAATCAATTTTATTTTAGAATAATGTACAAAATATTTAATTGTTGTAAAAGCCAAATAATAATTTTTTTTAAGTTGATTCCTCACTGGAAAATCATATCCAGTCTTTTCAGACCATGTCCCATGATCCACTTGGTAAGCAATTTTCCTGTAAACAAAACATATTAGTAGTAATACTAACAATTACAGCTCACCTCAACTCTAGAACACCATGCATAAAAAAGGCTAGATGAACATAGCCAGAGGTTCAAGAAACGGCTATAGGAACGTAGCCAAAAGTGACAGAACTATAATACACGGTTAGGAAATAAATAGAAATGGCTATAGGAACGTAGCCATATATCACATAAAGGCTGAAACGTCTTAGTTTATTGATAGACCTAAAAATTGCCCTGTATTCCTCATCTCCAAATCATGATTCATGCTCTGCGTACAGAGAGTCTAAAAACACCATCTCTCTTCGAAGCGGCATCATTATCTACAATGTTAAAGGTGTAAAAATATTTCATTTGAACATTATTGCTTTTTCCAAGATTTTTCAGTGTTTTATTTTAGAAACACACACATTGCAATACCAATTAATGTATGCACTAGACATTTTAATATATTCTTACACAGACAACAAAGTGGTCTGGTCCATTGGCATTTGTCCATGCTGGAAAGGCTAACAGGTCTTTCAAGTCTGCATCTTCCTGAAATTGATCAGGACAGTTATGTTGTTTATTTAGGTTGTACTTCTCACACAGTAAATACAGTACATACATGCACCAGTAATCCAGTAACAATGTTGTTAGGAGTTTCTTTCCACACAGGGAAACATAAAAGTCCTCAATGTATATGTCCTTGCCCTACATGAATAAAAAGAAACTGTTGACAATGACATGAACATTTTCACACAGTTTAGAAATTGTTTTTTTTTTATTTGGATCAAGTTAAAACAATCTATATAAATATTATGTTTTATAGTACATACAATTTGTCGAGCCATTTCACAAATAAGCTTCATGCAGGCGTTTTCAATCTGCAATAAATACTTTGATAAGTCAATGTTTTTAATAAAAAAAAAGTTATAATAAAAAAACAGACTGCTTACATGGGAGTCCATGTCCCTCAACAATCCAAGGCTCCAAAATTCTTCTCGAATAAGGCACACTTGCCTCTCCTTCACAATTATTTCACTGCCAGGGCGATTTCGGTCCAGCACATAATCAAGCTGTAATAATAATAACAATAAATATGTGTGTGTGTGTGTGTGTGTGTGTGTGTGTGTGTGTGTGTGTGTGTGTGTTTGTGTGTGCGTTTGTATGTAATGGTAATTGTTCACCAGTTTCTCTTGTAATGGATCCCAGTCCCTCTTCCAAGGCTTAGTAGGTTCCAAAAAATTCAGAAGAGTGGTAGGTTCACAAGCTGTTTTTTTCTGTAATTGGTATTGATGACAGAGGAGATGTGACTGATGTTATGCCTGGTGATGCAGCGGTCGTTTGTAAAGTCACAATATTTTCTGGCAGTGCTGTCAGTGGTCCTTAGAGTACATTAAAGCATCAAAATTTGAAAATAACACATAATAATTAGATCAAAGATTTCAATAGTGTTGTACTAAAAACCTTTATTTCAGTCAACTAAATATTTAATTAAATGCATTTGAAAACTTAAATACAATAAACTTCAAAAGTTTTGTTTTTTCAACAAGACGAAATTAGCTTTTTTAGGGCAGCGAGTTTCCATAATTTTTTTAAGTTCAATCAACCTGTCCGGGCTTACAGTGTGTGATGTCCACCGCTGTAATTACACAATAGTGAAAAAGAAATCTGAGAAATGCTGTAGTTGGTGTAGGTGGAGCAGGTTAATCACATTAAAAGTTCTGCATTGTGTAGATATGAAAGTGAACTCTTGTCATTGAATCACCCTGTATAAACTGCCTATACAATAATTTAACTTGTGACGTAATTATTTTCTAATTATAAATATATAGCTGCATGACAGATTTAATAGTGGACTCTACAAAGGTAAGACCAAAGCTTGAAATCGCATCACGTGAGTGCAAGAGACCAATAGAAGTTCAAAACATGAGCTATATGGAGCAATCAGTCGCTTTTAGTAACGTCTAATCATATTGTTTTATCCCGCACTTTTTTGCAGCGCTGTACGAAAGAATTTTGCAAGAACAAACTCTAGTGTGACCGCGGCCCAACTTGCTTTCAGATTAACTATGCCCAGCTGCTATATATATGAATAGCAACAGGCGTTTCTGTGTGGAGTTTGCATGTACTCCCTGCGTTCGCGTGGCTTTCCTCTGGGTACTACGGTTTCCCCCACAGTCCAAAGACATGCGGGACAGGTGAATTGGGTAGGCTAAATTGTCCGTAGTGTATGAGTGTGTGTATGTGGATGTTTCCCAGAGATGGGTTGCGGCTGGAAGGGTATCCGCTGTGTAAAAACTTGCTGGATAAGTTGGCGGTTCATTCAGCTGTGGCGACCCCAGATTAATAAAGGGACTAAGCCAACAAGAAAATGAATAAATTATCTATATATATATATATATATATATATATATATATATATATATATATATATATATATATATATATATATATGAGCCTACCTTTGAAGCTGCTGTGCTGTGGTGTGGAAGTTTCTGATTGTGTCGCTTGATTTGTGCCTGTACCATAACAGATCTCTCTTGTTGTGAGATATGTCTTGGTAACCTTTAATGTGTTGTGTTTTTTGCGCATTGATTTGACTGCATTGAGTGAGTGAGTGCATTTTCCCTCCTCCTCCTGGTTAAGAGATAAAGCTTTATAATAGAATGTTATATTTCAGATAGTATAAATCAATTATTAGCAACAAAAGACCAATTCTATAATGATTTTAGTGTATAAGACTATTTGAAGCAAAAAAGATGCTGGAGGACTGGATCAGATATATGGCACTTTATTCACACCTGATTGCCTCTGCAGCTTGTACATAACATTTCACAGCACCTGGAATTAACACAAATGAGTTTAAAGTTATTTGTGATTAATGTACAAACATCTTCTTCAAGATACAAAAATCTTCTAAGGCCAAAAGTAGCAAAAAATGGACAGTATGTGATAGCTTCACTGTGTTAAAAAAGGTTTTGTCACAGAGTATCTTATATATGCTTTTGTGAATGCACTGTAAAAAATTGCTGTTAAAAAACGGTCAGATTCTACGGCAAAATAATGTTTTTTCACTAAAACAGTAATATTCTGTTAAAAACAGTGCTTTCTGGGTAACATTTTTGTTTTCGAGAAAGTAACCAACTGCAGAAAACTGTGAGCTAACAGAGTACAGATTTGATGTTTTGAAGTCTGTGTTTGAAATCACACTTTGTGTCCTTGTTCACTATTTCATACACTAGTTAACTAATATAGTTCACCTGACAGTTTTAATGAACACTAATGAGTGAATTCAGACACTGATGAACACCTGCTGTTAATAATCACAATTACTGAAGAAAATAAACAAGAAATACAAACAGTGACGTGAGTTACAGCATTAAATAAAATAAAATAAAACAGCTTCAGTCTCAGCAGAGGATCATTAAACAACTCCACAAACAACAGCAGACACACACTTATTACTGACTGATTTGACTTCCATACTATTCTCATTGAGATCCAACAGAAATTAAGGTGTTTTTTGTGTCACCGTAATGGAGTGAGGGGCTGATTTAGTTGGGCTCTTCACCCTTGGCCACATTTAAGAAGACTTTCCAACTGCTGTAATGCAGAGTTTACAAAATGTTTGTACTATAGCAATAAAGTTGGGAAGTCAATAAATAGAGAAATCTATTTGTCTGAAGTAAGTTCTGATAAATGTTTTGTTATAAATCTGGAAGAAGGGCCACATGCAATAGATTTTGTGCTTAGTTGCAGGTATTAATTTAATTAATGAGAAGTGGAAACAGAAAAGATACCTCCGTAATTACTTAACAGTTAAGAAATAACATACAAAAACAGTTCAGTTATGACAAATACACACTCAGACCTCATGAATCTGACCTTGTATGTCAACAATGGTAACATCTCAAATGTTTCATGCTGCAATGCATGCTGGGAGTGGCACGGTACAAATATCCCAGCATGCATTGCGGTATAAATAAATGTTGTATAATGGTCTAACAGTTTTCTTTATTTGTGTTTGATTCTGCTGTTGTTTATGTTTAGACTTTCAGTTGCCTGTTTGTGAGTTAAACTGTTAATTTTGTTTGTTGTCACCATTATTGAGGTTCATATGCTGATTATTGATGTCTCTTTGAGTGCAATTTACACCATAGAGCAGTGTTATTGTCCAAGATATTCTGAACAACTTCTAGAAATCATTGCCATATATAGACATATAATGTAAAACAATAGATTAAACATTGAATAGGAGCAGTACATTTTATTATACTAAATGAGAACAGACTCTGCCATTTAATAGCAACATGAACATCACCAGATCTTATTTAGGTTTTTTCTGGCTTGCCACAACAAAGGAGCTTTTTAAACAAAGTTCTTAACAATTGCAGCAGCCAAGATATATAAATGTTAAAAATGACAGGGCTAAGAGCCCAACTAAAGCAAACTCTGTTCTCCATGATGGTGACGTAAAACTTTCACTTTTTCTCAAGAAGAACTTTAGTAGATGTTATACAAAAATACATGTATTAAGTAATAAGTGTAGCTGGTGATGATGTTTGTAGAGTTGTTTAATCATCCGCTGATCATTTAAATGATTTAATCATTTGTTGTTCTTCAGGTTATTTCATTATAAAGCTGTGACTAAAGTTTTGTATGTTCTGTTCTTGTTTTTTTCCTTTAGTATTTCTTCATTTGTTCATTGTTAATCCTCAATTATCATTTAATTAGTCAGTTAATTAATGAATTTACTTCAGCTTTGCTCCATGTTTCTTGAACACTCAGTAGTGTGGACACTTCAATAAAAACTGAAGTATATGCTCTGGGGTTTAAAGGGTTAAAGGTGTGAGAGGTAAAAACACAGTGTAAAAATGTATTTTAACAGTAATATACTGTTAATTTACACAACGGAAGTAGACTGTAAAAAAACAGTATATTGCTGGCAACCACAGCTGCCAGTAGATTACCGTTAAAACAAGGAAAAAACAGTATTTTACTGTAAAACCTGAAGCTAATTTCTTCTGTCTGTCACCGTTGTGGAGGAGAGTAGAGCCAGTGTATGAGTTAAAGATGAACAATGAGCTGCTGATGTTATTCTGCATGTTTCTCTATTTAAAGATAGCGGCTGTTTAGTTGCTGATGCAGTCAGAATCTCTCTGGTGATTCCAGATTTACATGTATGTGTGCTGTTGTGAAAAATAAGACATTGGAGTTAAACCGAACTTTTCTAATTAACTAAAATAAGTTATCATTATAAGTATGCTTCTAAGCATATATAGGACATTACTTCATAAACTCATTCAGCAGTTGACCAAGTTGAGGCAGTTGCTTTCAGTGAGCAAAATGAGTTCACTTGAGTATTGTGTAAATCAATGTAGTCCATGTATTTTTACAGCAACATACTGTAAAATAACAGTACATTGCTGGCAACTGCAGCTGCCAGTATTTTACTGTTTTTTAACGGGACAATTTTTAACAGTGCAACCCTAAACACAACCTCAGAGTAACCAGTTTTTATTTTTATGAATGTCTACTACAGTTACATCAATCGCAAACCCAGCCTAC